CACATCTAGAGAAGAAATTCAAAACAAAACTCAATAAAATGATACAATGTCATGTAATTACAGGACATACACTTTATTGTTTACTCTCATTTCTTTACACTGATGCCAGTCATATGCTAGTTCACAAGTCAAGACCACAATCTTTAAGCTCTCTTATTAGACCATTTAAGGATCATTACTCGCACCACAAGCAACCACCTTGTTTCACATTTTCATAGAATGACCCATCCAAGCTTCTAAACTACCCTTTACAATTTTTAACAATTCCTAGCCTCACAACTCCCACAAGGCCGAATCCAAGACCAAGGGAAAAGCTAGGGATTTGCATCCATTTACTCTACACAACCAATGGTTCCTAAGTTATGTAAGCATCCCTTTAACAATTTAAACACAATATAGGCCTATTTTTGTTCACAAGGCCAAGGGCACACATCCAAAGGAACCAAGATGTCTTTCATCAATTCTTAATCCATTTCACTTCATAATCATATTAATTCGATGCATTGAAACCTCAATACATATTCAAAACAATGTTTTACACAATCATCCCTAATTAGATCCTAATGGCCGAAATCCATAAGGAGGGTTTTACAAGGGATTTTTGTCTTTGTATCCTTAATTTAACACTTAATTGACAACTTACACATACATATAACCTTCACAAATTATGCAATTTAATTTTTGCACTTTAAATCCCCAAATGCCCAATATGGCCGAACCTAGTGTGGTGGTCCAAGGGGATTTTTTTCAAAACTTCTATACATGTTCATGCTTATTCCACATTACCACTTCATATACAATACTAATCCATCAACAATTTCAATTTTCAAACTCAATAATTTGCCACCAAAAGTGCTCATATTATTCAAAACTTAAATCATATAAATCAAACCATTGGAATGAGGATTTCTTACCTCAAATTACTTATCCAAGGTCCAAGGAACAAAATCAAAGCTTGGCTCACTCAAAATCCACACTTTCACACTTGGGTGAATAGTGCCACGAGTTGTAGAGGAGGAAGAACTCTTTCCACAAGCAATTTCAACCTAAACGAAGTGGTGGAATGAATTTCTTGGATGATTTATTATAAATTTTGTGTAATGCACTTATGGATTTGGTTAATTATGGAGGGAGAAATCAAAGGAAAAAGAAATGAAAACCTTAAGCCCCTACAATGGTGGAACTCGGCCAGGAAAGAGAAAAAGGAAGATTGCTGATGTGAATAGTGACCTTTTGGAAGGAACTTAAGTTTATAATAACATGTGGTCTTTTACCGGTTATTTTTCTCTCACTTAATTTCACTTAAATTGACCCGACACTAACTTAAAGCTACGGATATATTTTTATTTTTCTGAACTGGTTTACATTCATTTGTATTCCCTAAGTAATAATATTAACAGTTCACAGTAGGGTTTTTGCACCATTTTTGACGAAATGCACTGTGAATCACTAACTGCTCACTATTTGCACATGAAACTGCAAAACTTATTATAATAGCCCTAACCCAATTAATTAGCGAATTACATGTAATTAAATAATTAAGCATGTTTTAGTGAGTAAAATTAAGTATAAGGCTTAATTAAATGAATCTGAGTCACTTTGGAGTTAAAAAATGTACTCAGTGAAAATTAAGGGGTATAAATGGGTACTGACGAAAGTGCCCAAAATATAAAAATAAAACTATAAATATTTCTATAATAATATTCCAAACTTTTGGGTAAAGTTTGGTAATTAATGGAGTTGAATAGATAGACGAACCAATACCCGCTTAAAGTCACTTAACCTATGTTAAGTGACTAAGACACCAAAAAGAGCCCTATTTCCCACCCCTTTTCCGTCGAGCCAGAGAGAGAAGCAAACAGAAGAAGAAGAAGAAGAAAAAAGGAAGAGAGAAGAAGAGAGAAAGGAGGGAGGAAACCTTGACCGTTTTGGGTGATTCAAAAGCCTAAATCGCTTAAAATCTCGCCCTCTTTCATTATCCAAGCTTAGTTCTTAGTGGGGAGCTTTGTGGAGAGAGATATTGCCTCTCAAAAATTCGGCCCTTTGTGAGATTTTGGGGTTTTGAGAGTTTCTACCTCCATTGAAGCTTGAGGAGCCATCAATCCTTGGTTGTGCAACCATTGGTGGTAAGATTCTACCCCTTGAACCTTATTTTCATGATTAAATTGCATGAGTTAGGGTTCAATGATTAGGGTAGTGGTTGTTGATAGTGTATATAAATGCAATGAAATAGTGTAATGCTTTGTTATACGTATGTGTATGCATTTGGTGTGGCATAGGATGGTGTTTCCCTATGTTGGTATGTTGCATGACGATGCGTAAATCATACTTGGTAGTTTAGCTGGCCAGTAGGACTATTTGCATCTGAGTTTCCTTAGGACAACTTGAGAGCTCGAGGGATTTCTCCTGGAGATGTTATAGCACTTTGCATAGATATGTATTTACTGCATTATTATTGTTATTGCTATTACACTGATATGGAACTGTGGGGTGGAGAGATGCTCCAAGGACCCCTAGTTTACTGGATATATTTGTATATCTCACCCCGTGTTGTGGGGACCCCATTTCAGGTAAGGATGCTGCAGGAGCCTCTGGTGGCAAGTGGCCATATCTGGATTAGCATATGCATGAAGTGTTGCATTTTTCTGAGATTATACATGTTGTTTTGTAGCTCACATGTATAGAATTGTAATTAATAGGCAATGATAGATTTATGATTTGTATATTGGGATGGACTTAGCCTATGCTCATGCCTTTGGTCATCCCTTTTGTTGATGGGAGCCAAGGGAATGATCATAGTATTTTGTAAGCTAAGTTCCATGACTTGTAATGAGTATGTACTGTAAATGATGCCTACTTGAAATTCAATATATGCATGCTTTTATGTATTGAGTTATTGAATTGGTTGGGCTGAGAATCAATTAGGTACCTTTTGTTTAAATTGGGAAACGTTGAGAAAACAAAGGTTATGCTGCCTAAATTCTAGCTAAATCTCATGAGGAGAGGTTGGATAAGTGCTAGGATTAAGTTTTGAGGCATGAACCATTGGGGTTTGGAATGGGGATGCATCTTCCCCTAGACTTGGACTTAAAAAATGAGGGTAATGGAATTCCCTGGCAGCGCGCTTTAGCGCCCTGCTGCCCCTGTGAGAGCCAATGCTCTCGGCCTCCTCGCGCTGGAGCGCCCAGAGTGGGGGCTTAAGCGCCCAGGGTTGCGCGCTTGAGCGCCCTGGTTCGCGCTTGAGCGCCCTTAGCCGCCGAAGGAGGAGATGCTTCTGCCTCTGCGCGCTAAAACGTCCCAAATGGGGGCTTAAGCGCCTAGGATAGCGCGCTTGAGCGCCCCGATGCGCGCTTAAGTGCCCATTTATACTGAATGAACTGATGCTTTCTGCCTCCGTGCGCTTAAGCGCCCAGATGGAGGCTCTAGCGCCCGATAACGCGCGCTTGAGCGCCCGGTAGCGCGCTGAAGCGCGCGAGGCCTGTGATCAACACCCTCTTGTGTTGCTTCCAATTGTCATAACTTGGGCTACCGTGCTCCAAATGAGGAGCGGTTTGAAACCACGCGTAGCTAACGAAGAGATCTACAATATAGTAGAAGTTGTGAAATAAATAAGAAGTAAATTAATGGTTTAAAAATGGAATAAGAACATGATGTTAAGCTTGATTTATCTGATTCCGCAAAGTAATATGATTATGATCACGCAATTGGATATTTTAAATTTGGCGTCGTTTTGAAAAGAAAAATTTATCCGGATTTTTAATTGAGCCAATGTGATTGTAACTGCGCTTAATATCATAATGCGATGTTAACAAACCGGTTCTAGAACGGGGTGTTACACTTATAAACTTAATACTTTTGGCCTAAACATGACTTGTTTGGCATATATTGGACTTTCTTATTCTTATTACATCATTTTTTTATTTCTGGACTCTACCTGTTGCTTAAACAACGGTATAAAATATCCAGCAGAAATACTATTCATGAGATTTTCATGAAAAGTGTCAGACTATACAATTTTTCGTTCTGAACTCATATTTGGCATCAGAATTTTCAAATTAGGTCTCTAACCTCATTTTGCTCATTTTCACGCTCTACCTGTTGATACACACGGTGCAGAATACCCGGTAGAAGGCATTGTTCATGACCTAGTCATGATTACAGTCAACACACTCGAAATCACGTTCTGAATCTAATTATGATATTTAAATCCTTAAATTAAATCTCTAATTAAGATTTACCCGATGGGGTCATTATATTATTGATATATTAAGAAATGAAATAAATTTTGTAAGTTTTTTTCTTCTTATGACATTAGTGAATATCTTTTATTTTGTCTTGGTTTAGTCCATTTTAATACCAAAACTAAATTGGGTATAAATTAGAAGATTATGTGACCACCCTAAGAAAAGTAGAATAAAAAAAGCTAAAGTAACACCAAATTAAAGTGTAACTAACATGTTGAACAATAAAGATGCAAACCACACAAAGGGAAACAGACATAACTCTTCATGAAATAAAGATTGAGTGGCGCAGAAGAAAACCATATATTCTTGAAGAAAGGTGGCTGTCGAGGGGCAACCATTAATGATGGAGAGAGAAAAGGAACAGAGAGAAAATTTAAAAAATAAAGTAAAATAGAAGGTGAAGATGAATGTTTTTTTAGAAGATGTTTCTGTTTAACAGAAATGTAAAATAGAAGGTTGAAATGAATGCTTTATGAGAAGATGTTTGTGTGAGTTGAATCCAAAAGTTTAAATTGGTAAATATATATTAAATATTATTAATGTTTGTATATTAATATCTCTAGCACATCTTAGAAAATAGAGGTGAGATTTTTACCCGTTAATTACATGCTATTATACTATATAAAAAATCAGTTCAACCCAATACATGAGTTTATAAATGATCATCACATTAATGCAGTTATATTAATATCTCTGAATTAAGAGAAATGTAACTTTATTTATCATTCGAAGTACTCAGTTTACATAAGGTCTCCTCTTAATGCCAATAGGACAAACAAGAGCCAAAGACTGACACAAGTCACATAATACTTTGACAAATCCCTCAGTGGAGAGACCAATCCTCACTACTCACATTTTTATTACATCAATCTGCGAAAAAAACAAACACATGCAAACACGTAGGGACTATGTAATCAACTGCAAAGAAACACAGGCTGCAGAATGATTAATGATCAAATGGTAGGAGGAGCAACAGCTCTAATAAAAAAATCCTCATCATTGTTTTCATCATGGCAGCATTCAAAGGTGGTGAGCACGTGCATGTGTCTGCGACACTCAGGGCACGTGAGCTTATCTGGGATTCTCCCCATTGCATGTGAGAACTCAAATCTACAACAAGGGTTAGCAACTCTATGATTCTTCTCATACTGATCCTTAAAACTTGGTTCAAACCCATCTCTCTCAGCAAATTCCTTCCATATTGTGTCATACTCCATCAAAGTTTGCAAACCAGTTGTAGCATGCCCATTAACCACAATTTGAGACCCTCTTGCTAGAATGATCCAACCACCTTGTCTGTCATAGCTTAGAAGCTTCTTGATTTCTTGCATCACAAGGTCTTCTTCATCAGCTTGACCCAGTTGAATCTTGGAGAAGAGCATGCTCTGAAGACGGGTCCAGAAGAACCACACCATGCTATGCTCTTGCCAGCTATGTGTGTTGAGCTTTTCCCTAAGTATGGTATCCCACACTTTCTGCACTTGTTCCCTTTTGTTGCCTTTCCCAACATATACCATCTCTAAGGGTATTAGTGTAGCTTGTGCAATCCTTCGTGCTTCCTTCACAAATCTTCTTACCCACTCATGATCATCCCCTCCATAGAAGAAGATGTATTTCCCTTCCTTAATCTGTTCAATAAGAAATTATAATTGATTAATTTGTAAGATTGCGTCTGAAATATCCCCAAGTTTGAAATAGCCCCAAACTTCAAGTTGCAATACTATGCTTTTCGGTTGAGGCTACTTTGTCAAACTTTTCATGGCATTCCTATGTGTCACAAATCAACTATCCCAAAAGCTTGAGAAACTACTTACTTCATGTTAAAACTTCATTACTTTTAATTAGAAGAATGAGTGCGACAAGAATCTAGTTCTAGACCATTTGGTCATAGAATTTTTTATACCATATCATTGGCTAACTCTCCCATAAACTAAAGTTGTTAAGTGAAGAAACGTGAATGGTTTTTTATTAGATTTAACACAATGGAAATGACTGAGGTCTAGATATGGTAATAAAACTAGTAGTTTGATCATACCAAACAAAAGGGGGTGGGGTGGGGAAGTATTTTGATTGCTAGAATATATGCTTACCCAGTTCAATATTTCTGAGTCAATGCCATCAACGAGCAATTCAAGTCTCCAAGTCTCTTCCTTCCATAGATCTTTTTCTCTTGAACTTGTGAAAGGAAAGGCAGCACTTCCCCAAATCCACATCATGTGAATAGCATTAGGACAAGCAACCCTCCCATAAGGGTCCAAAACCACGATAATTGGCTTGTTCTTATATTTCCATTCCCTCTGTATGAACCAAGTGACAGCCTTGCTTATCAATGAAGGATGATACACAGAGAACCATGGCGTGGTTTCTTGCAGACTCTCAAACACCCTTTGCTTTGCCTCTGTCCATTCAGAACTTTGGTCCATAATTGGGATCCAAACTAACTCATATCTGCTATCCATTCTTGATGCATGCCCCTTTGATTCGTTATAGATCTGTTCAAGAATCAGAAGCTCGTCGTGGGAGAATTCCAAGCCAGAGATTAGAAGTAACACATTCCTCTTTCTCAGCGGCTCAAGGCCAACCTGTTCGTTTGCATCATTTATGTCAGTATTAGCATCACCGAGTTCCCATAATAGTTATGCATCATATAGTTAGTTACTGTGTTAGAAAATCAAACCCTTTTTTTTGAAGAACCATCATATAGAGGCAGAATATCATCCTTTGCATATATCAAAGCCTTGAGAACCTTCATGTTGTCCAAGTGGGGTGTGGAAAATAAATCATGTAGCATTTCATAAGCTTCAGAATCCATCTTTCTCTCTACATTGAGAGTTGATATTAAATTAGCCGTATAGCATAGATGCACTCCATGTTCTTGGCATTTCAGGATTGTTTATACATTTATTATGCTTCCAAATGAATGAATATACATGTTTAAGTTGCTTACCAATGTGTTTGTAGCAGTTATGAAGTTGCTCTCTGAGATGGTTGGCTATGTTTTTGAGCTTGTGAGCCAATGTTGATAGCTCCCAAGTATCATTTGTTGATGTCATGATCCTGAAACAGTGTTGACATATCATTTGTCTGTCATATTAAACCCTGTCATTTAGCAGCTAGGTATAATATTCACTGTAAATTGTTCTTATGACCATCATATGCTTTGGTAGATTTATGTATAAAGAGAATTTAAAATCCTGACCTTCAGACTATAGATGTCTTAACAAAATGTCAAGAGATATCATAATGTCATGCAACAATCTATCCCAAAAGTTTAAGCTGTTAGATAAAGATACATAAATGATTTTCTATTATATCTCAAACCATGGCGAAAGCTTCGCCACCGGTTTATATGATATCTGTTAACAACAAATATAAAAAACTTGAGAATTGATTGGAAAAACGTACTCATAGCCAAGTGTAGTGAGGCTGGTAATCTGAGCTGCACAAGCCACAATACTTCTGACACTCCAGTAGACAGCAATTGGGATCTGGTTAGAGGCAGTTGTATAGGGTGGTACCTCTTGTGCAATGTATCGAGTTGGAATATCATTGAACTCTATGACACACCTGGTCACCTCCAATACGACCTTAATTAGATCATTAAGTGCATCAAACCGTGGTTTCATTGAGCCTGCGTGCTCCATGATACTAGGTAATTGCTTCAGAATTGCCATTGATTTGGCAAGTTGGTTTGTATCATGAATATGAGCAAGCAGCCAGAATTCACCGTAGGTCAAAGCAAAAGCAGCTAAGGCCAACACCAACTTCACATCCCACTTGTATGTTGTAAGCATTTCAAATATTGCAACTGTTGTGGTGTGTGCATCTGCACCACCAAGAGTCTTGTAGGAAATCTGAAATTTCATTTTGGCTTTGATATTGTTATTTTGTTATATTTGATGGGGGAAAAAATGTATATTCTGACTGCAATGACACATCCGTTTTACAAATTAATAACTTGAGACTTTTTTAGAAGTTATATCAACCTATGTAACTATGTTCTAAGTAGTATCACAATGTTTAAGTGATTAAACAGAAAGATATAAAGATCTTGGTCTAGATGTTCTAGGTTATTTTTCCATCACCTCACAGGAAATACAATCAATCTTAAAAGATAGAGCCTCCAGCATGTTTGTGTAACCGGGAAGGTGGCTTTTGTCTTCTACATGATCAACATGTGCGAGAGCACCCTGAAAGAAAGTACAAGTTATAATCAGGATATAGGAGAATATCAGCCAAATTCACATCTAAATGGAAACAAAACTGAAATTGCATATGTTTGTCTTAAATATTTGCTTGGCAATTTCACAAGAAACTTTTTTATGCTACTAGCATCATACCGTTGAAGCACCTTCAGAACTCAAGGTAGAGCGTCTAAGAATATCCTCAACAATATGGAGAAGTGGCTTGACATCATATTCTAGTCCATCAGGATTATGGTCTGACACTATTTTCTTCACCAAAATGTTGTCATCAGACACTGCACTTGCAGGCATGATTCTATCTTTGATCATTTGTTGCATAGCACCCAACTTGCCAAAGCTAGCCATGGTGAGCTACACAAAACAAAATGTAGATAAAGAACTCTTAGCTTTGAGTGAGAGAAGAGATAAAACACTTGTGTAGTTGTGTTTTTAAATGCAACATGATAGGCTTATATATTTATATGGATAGAAAGGAATAAAGCCCAGATGAATCAACTTCCTTTCTTTCACCATAATTAAGTTCTTGGAACGTTAAGAGGAAGAAAGCCTTTAGCTTCTTTCTGTCCTTCATCCCCATCTCTTCACTTTAGTATGTACCAAGTCAATGTCCCCTGCAGTGACAAAACAGCATAAAGCTCTAGCATCTACACTTTTTAGTGGCTTACGCCAATGAAACCTTCTCACCATAAGTCAGAAATTTATAACTAGATTGATCAAGGTTCAGAAATGAGTGTATTATATACGTCAGGCGGGCTAAGGACACTATCAATGAGCTAAGTTACACCAACCAAAATAAGTGAATTCAATACCATATCTCAACTCAAAACATAGCACCAGCCAATCAACCATTTATGGCAATAAGTGAATCCAACATCATGTTTCATTCCACCCAAACACGTAAGACATTAAGTTCATAGATCCTCCCACTTACATATTCTTCACTTAACTCATTACCAACCAACGAGAAACTCTACCACACTTGAATATCCCAACAATATGTGTGTTAAGAAATAGTTTTTATGTAGTATTTTAAGAAGGTATAAGGCAGACAACACAATCCATGATGATGATAAATAGATCATGAAACTATGCTGCAAAGTTTTCTGGGTCCGTAAATGAAATAGATTTAGACCTTTAGCATCTACTGATATGGTTTATTACCTTTTTCTGCAAGATTTTAATAAATGCGAAACTACCACTTATGAAATGGTCCAAAAAAGAAAGTAGATACAGCTACGAGTAAACCAATTTTGCCTCTGATTAAGCATCAGTGTTCACTAAATGAGGTACAACGGAATTCAAATCATGGTAGTAAATAGGAAACGTGTTGAAGGCCGTTGGTATGATATGCTTCTTTTGCTTTGATTCCATCTTTTACTTGCAACATCAGTTGAGAATATTTTATGCCATAACGAAAGATGGAAAACGACAACCGAAAGATTTGATGCCTTGCTCTTTAATAAAAGGTAATATTAACCCCAAGGGGTCAAATAATAACTATGTTATATACAAGCTGCCCAAACTCCACCTCACCATAATAATAATAATAATAACAAAATATGATATTCAACTACTATTAAATACATGGATCAACGGTGTTGGTTTAAGTTAACCAATGGTATCGATTTCTAGTCATGCAAAGAGCTTTGTCATCCGTGTGGGTCTACTTGACTCAATCATAAGTCAAGTAATTAATGAACTAGTGGAAAACCTCTAAAAAAAAGATATTTTATGAGTCGAGAATGGAAAAAAAAATGAATATTCATTTTTGTATTTACTGTCAGATGAATGTACAGGTGTGCCTTTATATATAGAGAAAAAGAATCATCTAGAACCTAAGGAGGAAATTCATGTTTTTCTCTCACACACAAAATGGAGATACCACAACTGCATGTATAGACAAATGGAACCCGAATACCCCCTTGAGCAATCTTGAAAGGAAGAAGACCGAATTATCTAGATTAGCTTAAGTTTCAAAGGATTTACAGAGGAACCATCTCTCTCTGTGTGTGGCGTAGAATGTGATTTATATATTCCACTCAGATTATTTCCAGAATTTCTTAATAGATAATATAAACTTTCTACTCTGCTAAAATGGTATGCACCCCACAAACATTTTATAAAGGTAGAAAATACCATTAAATTGCTAAGAGGCAAATCAAAGTTTATATGACAACAATAAACCCCAAATGGTTCAATAACAGAAGCATGTGAAAACAATTAACTCGTTCAAAAAAAAAATTTGAATTTTTAGAACTACGGAAATGGGGGAAAGTTAAAGTACAATATCTATTTCGTCAGATAAAACTAACATTCCAAACATTCACAGTGTAAGTTATGGCAATGACATATATCCCTTCTTCGAGACATTGAATATTGATTGCCATGCCAATGCAAAACTCCCATTTTTCTAATGTGGAATTTTCTGCAACTTTCTACTTTTATGCTATGGGTAGGCCTCATGCATCACCAGACACTGCAATAATTTTGTTGTTGCAATCTTCACAAGAGAACAATTAGGTGGGGGAGGGTAAACTTTGAAGTTTGAATGGATGGATGGCCAGAAAGGTTGCTAAAATTGTTTGGCTTTTATGGGTCCCCGCAGTACCTGCACTTAAAGTTCAACCAGAGGCAGAAAAAAGTAACAATGTTAACAGCATTAAATTTCCCCCTTCCACTAGTAGGATGGGTATAACTAGTTAGCCATGGTACTCACTCTCCCAAGTCTAAAACTACACTAAGAAACCCCACGTGAAAATGAACAAAAATCAGACCATAACTTCTCTGCCATACCTTCTTCAACTGCCCATTAAATGTTACAATATATATATATATAAGAGACAACAAAATTTCTCCCTTATGATATTGTTAGCCCCCCATGTTATATGTAGTCACTGTGTTAACACACGCTTTCAATTTTTAACCACGCAAAATGAATCCTATACTTGGAAAACAATCATTAATGTGACCATTGCTATCTAATACCGTGAATATTTCACAAACTTGACTACAATAGAAGAGATACAGACAGATAAGTGGTCAAAATATTAAAAGACCACTTATTATACATTGTCCCTTCTCGGCTATTGGTGCAACTTCAATGAAAATCCTTCTGTACAAATTAGGATTTTCCTGGAAAAATCAGCAACAATGCAGTACTTAATTGCAATAACCCCTTGTTTCATACAAGTTAAAGCCAGGTACTTGAAAATGTGACCCACCCTTTATCTTCCATCACGGTTGTGTCAAAACACATCCTCTTTAAGCACCGGGATTCCACAATCACCGAAGGTGCCCCACAGTACATTGAAGGAGACTCGAACCCTTCAACCATTTCCATGAACATAGACTGCAACTCCTCCAAACCATAATCCTTTTCCTGTAATACATGCATTGTTGATATATGATCAGTGTTTATTCGTTATAATCCATTATGTCACTACCTAAAATTCCTACATTTCTGCCCTTAAAACTTTTCTAAGGATCCCTGTTCCGCTGGATTCGTTATAGAAGGAGGTTAAGAACCATACCTCTTTCCTCACTTGAGCCATAAGGGACACCATTTCTTCCACAAAATCAGAAAATCCCTGAAAGCAGAGATCATTCACAATTAGTCTTCCAGGACCATAACACAAGAAATAGAAACAAAAGAAACAAACTCAAAACTGCATAAAACGAACTTAAAATTTTCGAAGCACCCACCTCATCCTCTTCTTCTTGAGGATCATACAAGCCAGCAAGAAAACGCAAAGAATCAGATTCAACAATCTCATGATTTTTTTATTTTATTTTTTTTCAATTTGAAACTAGAACAGAAACAAGAACCCGAAGTCTTAAAAAACGCAAGAATTCCAAGAAACCATACCTGAATAAGCTTCCAAAAATTGCATCGATTTCACTCATCGAATCAAAAACGAAAACGATGGAATTCAGAGAAGGAAATTACTGTGCAGGGAATCAAAAAATTGAAAGCATTGAGAAAAAGAGAGAGAAGATACCTGACTAGAGAATTGTGAATGTGTGTGGTTGCCACAGACACGCTGAAGAAAAAAAAAATTGGAACGCTCTGAAGAAGAAAACTAGAGAAATTGGGATTTAGGGTTTAGAAAAAAAAAACATTGGGCTGGCGCATAGGGTTGTTGAGTTAACCCAAAAGAGACGAGGGTTAGTGGGGCTAGGGTAAAAAATAACCCTATTAAATGTGTGCTGAAAATGGGGTTGAAGGGCTGGCCCGCGCGCCCTGGCCCGTTTTGACAGGTCTAGTGGGCGTATAGCCAAGATGTGGGTGTGTGTACACAGTATTGACAGCTATAAAATCACTCCAAAGGATGCAACAGATATCAAAGGAGCCAATGATGTAGAGTTACAAAAATAATTGGCAGCTATAAAATCACTCCAAAGGATGCAACAGATATCAAAGGAGCCAATGATGTGGAGTTACAAAAATCTGGATCAGAAAGTAATTATGTTTTGAAAATTGCGCAACCAGCCCTTTTCAGTTTATTGAATTGATTCGACATCTAAGAAACAAAAACAACAAGCTTATTCATCCCAGAAAAACAAACAAACAAAAGACAAAAAAAAAAGAGCTAAATGGTTTTTCAAATCTTATGAATCAAAAGTTCTTTTGCCATAGCAGATTAAAATTAAAAAAAAAAATATATATAGTTTGGATCATAGGAACAACTTTATCCAGCTCTGTATGTAGGAGATAACATGTAAACAGTTATTCCTTGTCCTCATAAAGCAACTTGTTGTGGCATTGAGATGTTTCTAATTTTCAAGAAAAGATATAGTTGTACAAAAACAGTACAACCAACCTTGTGTTGATGATGGCATTGAACATCTCATTTGTAATGACTGGTGAGCCTAAGGATAAAGCCCTGTCAACTTTGCCCACTACAACATCAGTTGGAGTTGGAACAGTTGAGAAAACCATTAAAGAAGAAATAGATACCGAAGAAGAATCAGCAGTGAAAGATACAAATGAGGGGCAGCAACCAGAAAATGATTTTGCATAGTTAAAGAAACTTCTCGAGGTTTGAGCAGACTGCAACAAAATAAACAAGAAAATTATTGTTACTAAGTTGAATTTTTTAAAAAGCACATACATCTTAATTATGTGTCCACAAAAACAAACAAACAAATATTTATTTTCCTATTCTACATCTTTATGTTCTGACCCGTTATATGCTAAAACAGGCAATTGATCTATACAAAGTGACACACCACACCTTCGCAGAAATGAAAATGAATGGAAAGCTGAATCCCAACCTGAAGAGCTGAACCGAACCTGGAGAACACAGTTATGAAGCATCCGAATTTGGAAGAAGAGACCACACTAGCGCAAGGACATCAAAATCCGTATTTTCCTTTTTCTTTCTGCCTCCAATGCTTCCTTACTGCGCTGCCTCTTTCGTTTATCTTTCATGTAAATCTCCGTAAACTCCTCAATCGACTCGAGAAGAAACTCCAGGAGCGTCTTGTTTCGTGGCACCGGCGGTGGCGATGGACTCGGGGCAGTACCAGCCACCACACTCGGCGACGATCGCGGCCGAGGAGTACAGAAATCAGCAGGTGACGGGGCGGTACCAGCCACCACACTCGGCGACGATCTCGGCGGAGGAGTAAAGGAACCAGCACGTGAGGATGGCGAATCCATCACTATTTTGAATTATATTAAAAGAAACAAAAAATAATCAGAAAAAAAAACGCAAATTGAGAGCGCGTGGTAATAGCGTAGGAAGAACGCAGAAGAGAGAACGCGTGGGAAGAAGACAGAAGTGAACAGTATAGCGGGTAAAAGCGGTAACTTTCTCCTATATTATATTAAAAAATAAAAAATCTATATAAGAATTTGAAATAGCGTAAAAAAAAGGCTAAGGGCGACCGTTGCTATCTTTATAGAATATACAAAATTAAAAAATAATGTAAACGCTATGGTAATTATATAAAAAATTAATTTAATTTTATAAATTATGAATTAAAAAATTATTTATTTCAATTATTTTTATATTGAAAACCACTATAATATTTAGCTAAATATGAAAATGATAAAAAAAATGAAAAAAGTTCTTAAACAATAATAAATATAATATATTTATAATAAAAATAAATTTATTTATAGGATTAAACCTATATTAATATATCAATTATAAAAATATTTTTAAAATATTTTTTGTTTACCATATACTTATTTACATAAATAAAACAAATTTAGAAATTTTTTAATATAATAATATTTTAAATAAATATTTTTAATATATTTACATTTCATTCCTCTTAACATCTTGAATTTTAAAAATCTGATTGTATTCACTTTAGTTTCTTATTAATTTTTTCCCGATATTTTTCGAGTCTATCTCGTGCGATGTCATTAGAGGTGGCAAAGTGGGCGGCCCGCCCCGCCCCCCATCAACCCGTCAAAAAATTAGTCAGCCGGGCCGCCCCGCTTTTGAAAGTGGGCTGAAAAACTCAGCCCTCCCCGCCCCGTTTGGCGGGTTGGGCGGGTTGGCCCGCCAGCCCGAACTTATTTTACATTGACCCACCTCGGCCCGCCTATGCCCGCCATCAACCCGCCAAAAAATGAGCCCGCCCCGTCCTGTTTGGCGGGTTGGGCCGCTGAGCCGAGCCCGTTTTACCGGCTCTAGATGTCATGTAAATAAAGTTTCAATTATTTACATACCATATAACTCTATAATTTTTGGAAAAATATTTTCTGATGTTGTATGAGAATTCAATTCTCATGTTGTGACCCTTCGATTTGTGTGCAAAGCTTTTTTTTTCTTTTTCTCTTTTTAATAAATGTGAGACCCACCACTAGTTGAGTCGAATTCTCATGTAACATGAAAAAATCAAACCCCATAATTTTTACTTGGCAAAAGGCTTCATGATGAAGTTAATTTCTAACTATCATTTTGACCCCTACATTCGGTTATACTCTTCCAACTACCATTAATATATTAAAGTTTATTATTTTATTCATTAGGAAAAAAGACTCTTTTAAATGATAATACCTTTTATAAAAGGGTTTATCATCTATCATTTAACATGATCACAAAAAATTTCCTACACACACAACATTTTGTGGGGCCCACAGCAAAAAAAAAAAAAACTTCAGCACGCAAAACGAATCTCTATAACATAACAGAATCACTTTTCCTACAACATAACTCTTATAAAACTCTTTATAAAATGTATCTGGTTAAGCTTTTACTTTTAAACAGAAGATAAGCTAAAATTAGACTCACCAAACAAATAAATAATAATGGATTCACCTTATATATTTTAAAAATAAGTTCACTTTGTCAAAAGTCTTATAATTGCGATTCTAATTTATAATTTTTCCAAACCTCAATGCACTTATTGGATAGTTGTTATTTTCTGTGTGATTTAATACCGAAAAAGTTGTTACCAAATAATTCAGAATCTTATATAAAAGCATATTAAAAAATATATCACAGGAGTAAGAGTTTTATTTTTTCGTTTTACATAAGAGTTTATAGGTAGGAGAGTCTATTGCAAACACGACAAGTATATCGGTCGTTCCAAGTAATAAAGACATGGGTGAGTATCGTTTCAAGCAATAATTCATCATTTTTATATAAGTTAGACAATTCAAAAATGATTTCAAAAGGTAACCAATATTTAATTCAAAATTCAATTAAATATGCAGACTAAAGAAATTAATTTGAAAGATGAACTTGAAATTATGAATAAAAGTGTAGTTATCTTAGTAAAAAAAAAAAAAATGCAGTAAGGTTTACTTAACCTTTGATCCCCCTTAATTGGTTTAACCTAATTCAATAATTTATATCTCTATTGTTCCAAACAATTCATCATCTAAAAAATAATTGGTTAAATCTATAATGTCTTGGTTATTTAACCCTTTAACCTAATTATAATCTTAATTTCTTATAAACCCTATTTTTATTTATTTTTATTTTGTAATAATATAAACCCTATTTTTAGATTAAGCCTTAAGTGCAATGAATTTTCCAAGTTTGCAAATCCTACAAGTCTATGTCTAGAATATGTAAAAATTGATGTTTATCTATTACTAGATTAAAATCTAAATATCTCTATTTAGAACCCTAACCCTCTTTATTTCTATATGATTGACCAGGTTATGCAATAATTTAAACAAGTAATTGAAAATAAACAAATAATAATTTGAGACAGATTTTATTGGAAAGAAAATTAAACCAAATAAGGATTCACGTTGGATCCATATCTTTAACAACAAAAAGTAAATTAACCAGACATATCTAGCTTAGAAAAAATAAAGAAATAAAAAAAAACTAGAAAGAGTCATGAATTGGTGTTGATCTCCACAGTGATGTTTTGATCTTCCTTTAGTTTTCCTCTTTGATCTCTCAGTTCTTCCAATTCTCCTTCTATAGTCTACGCCATTTCTCTCTATTCCAGTATAGTTTCTCTATTCAGAATTGTTTTTTCCCCTCCAAATTTCGCCCTTCTATAAACAAAAGAAAGTTTCCTTTAATTTCTCAAATCAATTCCTAATCATCTTCCTTTATTTCCTTAAATTCCTCCTGTAACAGCTTGTTGTACATCGGTATTGTTAACATTGATTATAATATTAAACGCAGTTACAATCACAGCAATTCATTTATAAAAATGCGAGTAAACTTTTTTCTTTTTATTACGCGAGCATTTAAAACAATAAATGAGCGTAATAAATAAAAGTTGTGACCGTAACTGTAAACTCTTTGCGGAATAATTATTTAAACTGTCTAATTATCATATAACACCTCTCTCAAATCATTAAGGAGTTCCCATAAACCCACTTAGCCTAAATCTCCCTTTTACGTTTTCTACCTATCCAAACACGGTTCGGTCTTTTAATTACTGTAGAAAATCCGCATGCCGCGTTCTACTCATCTTTTAGTATGTTATTCTAGACTTAATTATCTTTCTAATAAGTTATCACACGAGTTATAAAGTTCTTGTTTGCTCCGGTTATTGCCGTTTGAAGTTGGACAAGCAAATCCGCCAGCCAACCCCAAACAGGGCTCCAAACATCCCTCACTCTCTCAACGATTCTGGAAAATCCACTCATCCAATTGCTCTCAAAATATTATACAGTAAATTAGACACCTCAAGCTTCAATTTGACATATCATACACCTAATTTGACCAAGAAACGAAGCGGGAATATAATTCCCAAAAACTGCCAGAAACAGTCCCATGTGCAGGGCCATTCTGCACAGTGCGCGTTCTCTGCCTCTTACAGGGCTGCATGGTTATCCTTTGGTTCTCAAATTTTGAAAAAAGGTAGTTGACATCGCAAGCCTTAAAATGGCGTATGGCACGCCCCTATTGGACCTTTGTGGAGGGAGATATGCTCTCCCAAAGTTCACCTAAATTCTGCTAATTTCTAGAAATTTCGCTAGAGTTTCCTTTGTTTTTCCAATAAATCCCACCTTTGAAGGTGTATTATCAAACCTCAATTTTGTACCTAATAATCATTGGTGGCACACAAGGACTAGCAATGTCTTGGTGCTCTTACAACCCTTCACAATTTATATCAAATTTGATCCATAATCATAACCCACGCTTACTTTCTCCAAGTTAAACTAATTCCAATCACAATATTCATTTGCATGCATCTTGAACATAAAACATAAATCAATCCTAAAATAGGCCTATTGCCCTTTCATCATATACATGCATCAATATTACATAGGGTCTTCGAATTACAAATTACAACTATTACAATTATCCTTCAATTATACATCATAATTCCTCCAAAATAAAATATGACAATAAAAGACTAAACTTAGACAAAATACAACATGAACAAAGATGACAATGATAATCCTGAATCACATGCATTGTTCATGTCCTAAGTCTAACATAGGCCCAATGGCCGCAAAATGCAAAATAGCTCTATGTCCGAGCTCACCCTACGGGCCTCTTGCCCGCCGCTCCGACTCCACTAGCACTACCTGAAATAAAGTCCCCAAAGCGGGGTGAGATATACGAATATATGTCAGTAGCCCAGAGGTTCTGGAGAATACTCCTCTCAATGGCTCACTTCAAAGCATATCAATAACATAATACAACATTTAAAACGGGATAAAGCACAGGATTTAGTGAAGTAGGGAAGCATAAGGAAACAAAATACGACGAAGCTGGAATGGTCAATGCCAAAGCCACACAACGTCTGGCCTATTGGCCTCGGTATATAGCCTACGGGTTCCAAACCAAGGTGTGTTCCCAGAACATCAACCAAGGCACCCTCCATCCATATCCACCCGAGACTTCCTAATGTGCTCCTCTACGGATCACACACCACGATCCCAAGTCAACTGAAACTCCCTCACGGAGACCTATCTAGTGGAAGTCTGTAACGCCCGAAGGAAACTATCTACTGCCCAGAGACTCGGTACATCCTATGTACCACTAAACATACAATAAAGCATGAACATGTTATACTACATTATTCACATACACCTCCAACCACTACCCTCAACGGGCATGGTGGAGCACACACGGGGAACAAACCCCAGTACCAAGGGATTACCTGAATAATCTCCTCCTTACAGCTCCAATTTAATACGTTCCCGAACTTGGTACAATTAGAATTGCTACACATAAGACATTCCCCAATTCAAATTCCAATCACCAATGCATATAAATGATTATAAAGGAATCCATGCATAGGTTCAAAGTCACTTTCCAAAATCCCTTTGGTCCGGGACCAAAGGCA